GACAACGACCGTGCCAAGATGGCAGAGAGCTCCGAGAAGCATGAGTTCCAGGCCGAGGTGAACCGTCTCATGGACATCATCATCAACTCGCTGTACACAGACAAGCAGGTGTTCCTGCGCGAGCTGATTTCCAACGCCGCAGACGCGCTGGAGAAGGCACGGTTCCACAGCGTGCAGGACGAGTCCTTCCTCGGGGACACGAAGGACTTGGAGGTGAAAATCGAGCACGACGCCGATGCCAAGACCATCTCTATCATCGACACGGGTGTCGGTATGTCCAAGGCCGACTTGATCAACAACTTGGGTACCGTTGCCAAGTCCGGTACCACGAACTTCTTGGAGGCCATGGCCGAGGGTGGTGATGCGAACCTCATCGGCCAGTTCGGCGTCGGCTTCTACAGTGCCTTCCTGGTAGCTGACAAGGTGTCGGTGACCTCCAAGTGCAACGATGACCCGGTGCAGCATGTCTGGGAGTCTTCCGCAGATGCTTCTTTCACAGTGGTGGATGACCCTCGAGGCAACACCCTGGGCCGAGGCACGAGGGTGACGCTCCACCTGAAAGAGGATGCTCACGACTACTTGTCCGAGGACAAGCTGAAGGAGAGCGCCAAGAAGTACTCCCAGTTCATCCAGTTCCCCATCTACGTGAAGGTGAAGAAGGAGGTGGATGCAGAAGCCGAGGAGGACGACGACGATGACGACAAGGACGACGAGGAGGAGAAGGACGACGTAGAGACGAAGGACGAAGAGGAGAAGGAGGAGGAAGACAAGAAGCCCAAGAAGAAAACCGTCTTCGAATGGGAGCAGGTGAACACCCAGAAGGCCATCTGGCTCCGTGCCAAGGAGGATGTTACAGAGGAGGAGTACAATGAGTTCTACAAGAGCATCTCCAAGGACTACCTGGACCCGCTGGCGTACACGCACTTCAATGCAGAGGGCGAGATCGAGTTCAAGTCGATTCTCTTCCTGCCCAAGAAGGCCCCCTTCGACATGATGGACAACTACTGGACCAAGAAGTCCGAGGTGAAGCTCTTCGTCCGGCGCGTGCTGGTGGCCGAGAAGTTCGACGAGCTGCTGCCTCGCTACCTGAACTTCGTGCGAGGCGTCGTGGACTCAGACGACCTTCCTTTGAACGTGTCCCGCGAGCAGCTGCAGCAGAACAAGATCATGAAGGTGATCTCCAAGAAGCTGGTGCGCAAGGTTTTGGAGCTGATGAAGAAGCTGGCCAAGGACGAGGAGTCCGGCGGTGATGACGAGGACGAGGAGAAGGAAGACGAGGAGAAGGAGGAGAAGGAAGAGAAGAAGGAGAAGAAGGATGAGGAGGGTCTCTGGAGCAAGTTCTGGAAGGAGTTCAACAAGAACTTGAAGATGGGCTGCTACGAGGACGACTCGAACCGCTCGAAGCTATCAAAGCTGCTGCGTTTCTTCACCACCAAGTCCGACGGCAAGGAAGTGAGCTTGGATAAGTATCTGGACCGCATGCAGGAAAGCCAGGAGAGCATCTACTACATGTCCGGCGAGTCCCTGGAGACCATGAAGAAAGCTCCGGCCCTTCAGATCTTCCTCAAGAAGGACTTAGAGGTCCTGATGCTGCCGGACCACCTGGACGAGCCTTGCTTGCAGAAGCTGGCGGACTACGAGGGCAAGAAGTTCGTGTCCATCCAGAAGGCCGACGTGAAGCTGGACGAGACGGAAGACGAGAAGAAAAAGTTCAAGAAGATCCAGGACATGTACAAGCCCCTAACGGACTGGTGGAAGAAGAAGCTGACGGACTTGACGGAAAGTGGTGCCATGAAGGAGGCCGGCGTGAAGGTGGAGAAGGTCGAGGTCTCCAAGAGACTGACGGACTCGCCGGTGGTGGTGGTGACCTCACAATTCGGCTACTCGGCCCAGCAGGAGAAGGTCATGAAGTCGCAGGCCTTCCAGAACAAGGAGCAGCTCTCCATGATGGCCGGCCGCAAGACGCTGGAGGTCAACCCGAACCATCCGGTGATCGTGGACCTCCTCGCGAAGGTGAAGGCCAGCGAGAGCGACGAGGCCGCCGCAGGGACGGCTGAGGTGCTCTTCCAGACTGCATTGATCGAGTCTGGCTTCGAGATCGCCGACCCGTCGGCGCTTGTGAACCATGTCTACAGACTTATGTCCAAGGAGCTCGGCGTGAACCCGGATGCGCC